CATATACATTACCTCATACACTTATTTTTTTGTGTGGTGAAAACACATAAAACTATCCTCTCAGTAATTTTTTAGGAATTCAATATGTTATTAACTGTTGTCACTATGTTGTACATTAGATTTCTTCAACTGATTCCTCCTACCTAATTGAATTTTTGAGTCCTTGGACCAAGAGCCCCCCAATCCTGGGGTTTAGGTTTTTAGAATTCAGCAATGAGAAGCTTTAAAGGGGATGAGCAGAGTAATGATAGCATCAGATGTGCTTCTCCAGAAGATCACCCTGGCTGCTATGTCAGGGCAGATAATAATAGGAACCATGGTGGATTCAGGAATGATTGTGGTTATTGCAGTGGTCCAGAGAAGTTGCTTGCAGAGTTGGAGAGAGTTTGACAGAATGGAGATTGATTCAAGGTAAACATGGTGATTAGGTCAAGGCTAGTGGAGAAAGGAATGTCAAGGATGACTCCCTGGTTTGTAGCTTTTGAAACGGTGGTTGTGGTGTTAAGGGATGTAGTGCCAGCTACCGAGGTAGAATACCTTGGAGAAGATTTCTCCAAACCTTGTTTGAAAAAAGGAAAATCGTATGTTTGGTTTTGGACTTTTTGAGTGTGAGGTGTCCGTGGGATCTCTTCCAGTTCTATAGTTTCAGCTACCTCCTAATCATCTGTATTTGGTTAATTCATCACAATCTCAAACTCTGTGTCTACATCTGATCATCTCAATCTTTCTGCCAAACCCTCTCCTATGTTCTTCACATCTTTTGTGGAACCATCTTCATCCATCCCAGAGATCTGGGCCTAATTCCGGTCATTTCGATTCTTTCCCAGGCTAATCTCCTTCTCTGCTTTCTACCTCAGTTGCCCTCCACTCTTAGATCCTCAGTCTCTCACTTGTACTAAAGCATGAGCCTCTATGATATCAAGGAGTGGGCATCATCTTCTCTCTACTAGTCCAGAATGCCTGGTGATGCTAGATAAATCTTATCTTCATAATACACCATTTGAACTTGGCATTCCTCTTTTCAAAAAGCTTTCTGTAAAGGCTGGGATACAGCTTGGTGCAAGAACATATGCTTTCAATATGTGAGGCTCTGGGTTCATCCACACTACCAGGAAAAAAAAGGTGTAAAAAGCATTCCGTGGTTCTCACTGTGAGTCTAACCCTGCCATACTCCCCAGGGAATTTGTGTGGATACAAACTGTATCACGTGTATTTGGATACACATGTCTTCTCTCCCTGATAGAACTTTAGGGGCATCATGCTCAGCCAATCTCAAAAGGTCACAAGCTGTTTGATTCCATTTATGTAACATTGTTGAAATGACAAGTAGAGGTAGGGCCTGAGTTCCTTGAGATCAATTCTGTGTTTTAGTTACCTTTCCATCTCTGTGACCAAAAGACCTGACCAGAACAATGTAGACGAGGAAAAGTTTATTTTGTCTCATGGTTTTAGAGGTTCCATGGTCGACACACTCCATGGCTTGGTGCCCAAAGTAAGGCAGAACATCATGATGGAAGGATGTGGCAAAGGGAATTAGCTCAGGACATGGTAACCAAGAAGCAGAGAGCTCTGCTTACTAGGGACAAAATATAAACCCTAGAGACTTGTTCCCAGTGACCTACTTCTGACTGTCTACAGTTAACCATCCAGTTAATCCATATCAGTGGATTAATCCACTCATTAGTTTATACCTTTCATAACTTAATCGTGTCACCTCTGAACATTCTTATATTGTCTCATAAATGAGCTTTTGGTGAACACTACATTTCCAAACCATAGCATTGTGCAGCTTATCCTCATGAACCCCATTATCCAATTCCTGTTACTTACTGTACATGAGAAAGGGAGGGAGGAAACTAATGTACTATTTTAGCTTGTTTATTATACTTGTTTCTAAACTATTTTAGATAGACGTATAGAGGCACAGAATTTTAAGTTAGAGCAAACCTTTGAGTCTTCTTTAATATTGAATGATATTTAGATAGTGATGACTCAGGTTTCCAAACAGGCTAATTTTCCTATTCCTGGACTTTCCTGTTTGGCCTGCTGAGTTATCAGATCTTGAATGTGTCATTCAGGGAAAATGTGGCAAGTAGCCTCATTAGACTGTAGGTGCCTTTGGTTAGGACCTGGCTGGTTCTCCTCATGGTCTTGTTTTCTCCTTTTGTGTAGGGCCAGAGCAGTCTGAGCTATATAATTTTCTCTACAAAAGGACAGAGAAGAGCAAGGTTTCCTTTCACTTTTAAACATTCTTGTTTCCATGTTGATATTAAAGTATCAAACTTTTATTTAGCAACTAGTCTATATATTTAGTGTGTAAATTTGACACTTAGATACAGTTCACACTCATAAATCTTAATATAATCTAAGCATAACAAAATGTTTTTATTAACTAGACTGTAGTGAGAAGTAAATACAGCATCATATGCAGCTGTGTATGCACACTGTTACTAAGTAATGTTTTTCCTTTTGAGCATTTCGATTTAAGATATGTGGTGAAGTGTCTGACCCCATGACAATAGCTAAAATGCCTCCTTATAACTACAGAGAGATCTGTCAGTTGCTTGCTAGAGCATACCAATCTGCTATATTTGCAGAGCACAGTTACATCTTCCAAATACTAAGATGTTCTTTGTCATCATTGATAATGATGATAATAATAATGACTTCCACTATTTTCTAGCTATCATTGACAGGCACTGTGCCAGGTACTTTAAATCCATTATCTCTAATCATCCCTACTTTACAGGTAAATGTGGCCTAGAGATAGTAGTAATTTGCCAGAATTGTGCAGTTAATAAATGTCAAAACTCCAATTTTGTCCATGTTAAGAGCTTGTGCTCTTTTCTCTACATGATAACTATACTTACACTTCTTTGACTTTTTATTTTTAAATAATTATGAACTCACAAGAACTTGCAAAAAGAGTATAGAGAGATTACCTGTACCTATTACCCAGCTCCCCCAGTAATTATATTGCTTTATCAAAACCAAGAAGTTGTTTGTCATGATATAGTTAACTAGACTCTGACCATACTTGAATTTTACTAATTTTTTTATGTATTCACTTTATGTATGTAATCTTTTGAGGTTGACTTTAATAACTCAGCATGATGCCCCCAAAGTTCATCCAAGAAGCATATATCTTTGGTTCTTCTTCTACTACTACTGCTGCTGCTGCTTCTTTTTTTTTTTTTTTTTTCCAGTACCAGGGATTGAACCCAGGGCTGCTTTGCCATGGAGCAACATCCTCAGTCCTTTTCACTTTTTTTTTTTTTTTTCGTTTTGAGACAGGCAAATTTGAGTTGCCCAGGGTGGCCTCAAATTTGTGATCCTACTGTTTCATCCTCACATGTTCCTAGGATTACAGGTGTACACCATTGTACCTGGCTAATTCAATCATTTTTGTTGCTGAATATCATTCCATAGTATGGATGCAACACAGTCTTCTATTATACTTTTTGAATTTCTAGATAATCCAGATTATCTAGCGCTATATTTATATTTTATGAAGAAACTTAGTGTTTATATGATCTTTTAAGGAGAAGCATCTAAAATAAAAGAAATACTTTTTTATATCCCACAAAAGAATATTTTTAAGGAACAAAAATTTAAAAACTTTAATTTTTTTTCTTTTTTGTCAAAATCATCTTAACACAACATCAAATAAATTTTTGGATTAAAAACTATGTAGCATATGAAGATTTGAAAAAAAAACTATGTAGCCTTTATGCTTTCAACCATATAAATATAGATTTTATATTGTTATTGTTATAGTGAATTTTATATACTGATATGCTGCTTTTTTCCACTTGGACTTGTTTGATCATGTACCACAACTCATTCCATTGAGTTGATTAACGTTTTCTACCCTGATAGCTACCTCTGGCTCCAAAGAGCATCTTCATGCATGTATCTTTTTCTCCTCCTGTTGAAGGATAGCTATAGTTCTTAGGAGTGAAACGATTGGGTCAAAGTGTAATGCTGTTGTTATGGCTCTTTTGATGAATCTCAACCCTACCCCATATTCACTAAGCAAGTTACTGAAGGTTCTTAAAACTTTGGTTGCAACAGCCAGAAATATGGTTCCTCCATCTTCAACCTGGGATGGTTGTAAGGAGAAAATGCATACAACAGTCCCTATGGCAGTACTTGGCAAGATGAGGTTTTCATCTGTGGCGGCTGCTGCTTTTGTTATGATTGTGATATTACTTCACTAACCCGATTCCATCATGCCCGCAGTTTTATGGACCAGTTGTACCCAGCATTGGTTAGCAAATGCTAGAGAAGCATTGCTGTGTATTTGGACCCTTCTGCTTTGGGAAGTGCACTCATGCTTGAGACAAGTGCTGCTTCCAGGTTCTAATGGGGAAATAAAGACATAAAGTCATGGTAACAAGACAGAGCGAAGCAAGTGATGTGATGGGAGTCTGTCTCAAGTGCTGTGGAAACTTTGAAGGAGGAAGTGGTTAATTTGCCTGATCTAAATGGGAAGCAAGGTTTCATAAGAGATGATTCTTGCTAAGCCAGGGCTTTACCCATAGGGAGAATTTTGGTAGCTGGGGAAGACAAATCATTCTAGACAAAAGAAATGCCTTAAACAAAGCATATATATGTCTTGATGATAGATGGAGTGTCTGAATAATGGGGGAGGGGCTCAGTTTGCTGGAGGCAGAATGTTGTGGGAGAGAAGCTACAGAAAGAGACTGTGAGTAATGTCATGGCCTGGAATTATGTACCTAGGAGTTTAGTTTCTATCCAGTAGGCAATGTACAATGGAGAATGTTTAGGGATGCTTTTTGATTATATATATGGCCATCTTAATGCTTGCTCTTTCTTGTGTGATCTATATCATATTTTTGTTCAGAAAGTGGTAAAAGGGCCAGGTTTCTAAAAAAAAAAAGAAACCCACCTTGAAATCTTATGGTTATTTTTACATGTTTTTGATATTTTAATTATAGCAACAGAAATACTGACTTTTGTATTTTTGTCCATTACAGGATTCTGCTCTAATACTTGATGTTCCTCTGGGTGTGATCTCAAGAATTGAAAAAATGGGAGGCGCGACAAGTAGAGGAGAAAATTCCTATGGTCTAGATATTACTTGTAAAGTAAGAGATTCAGTACTTTTCTTAAACAAAGAAAGAGACACATAAATGTTGAATGATAGTAGAAATTTAATGTGGGCTTAAAACTTCAAAATCTCTTGTTCATGTAAGGTTCTAGAAATGGTTCTCCCCTTATGATTTGAGATTTCCAGAAATGCCTTGAGTGTGCATTCTCATATATGAGACCCTCTGTGGTCACCGTGCATGAGGACTAGAAGAACTGGACAGTTTGTTAGCGTGACTGAGTAGGAAGAAAACTTTATAGATGAAATCTAAACATTTTTGGTTTTTGCTCTAGTCTGTTCTGAATGACCCTTCATGTCATGTGTTACTAGCTTAGACACCTTTGTACCATGAAAGGAAAAAGGAATACAAGATATTTTAAATGGGATGTGCCCTTACCTCCAATGAACTTTGTTAATTTTGCTTAGTTTTCAGAGGTAGTGGTCTATTGTGTTTTAGGGTGGTAAGTGGGAGAAATTTAGATAAAATAGTAACTGTTTATTGAGCAACCATGTCCATCCAAAAACAGGCAAGGTTATTTGCATTCAGTCCTCAGCATAGCACATAGAGGTAGATAGCTTGCAGATGGCAAACCCAAGGCTCAAAGAGTTTGGTGACCACTAAAATTTCCCAAAAAATGCCAAACCTGGACTCCAAAGACAGTAAGGTAATCAATCATTTTGTAAACAGCAGGCCAAATTTTCTGGCAAAGAAACCCATTTTCCAGCTATTGGGTATCAGAAGACTACTATGTGTAGCACATGCCGAATTTTAGAAAGAGTTGGAAGGGATTTGGAAGTCATTTGTCCCAGTAGTTCTCAAACCTAGATATGCATCAGGACAATCTAGGGAACTTTAAAAAAATGTAGGTCTTTGAGTTCTACCCCAGATCCTACTTTAAGATAATCTCTGAAGGATGGGACCTGGAAGGTTGTAATGCTTCCAACTGTGTCAGGTGACTATGAATCATCCCATCATTCTAGCACAGAGGTCAGCAAGCCTTATCTTTAAATGGCCAGATAGCAAATATTTTTGGCTTTGTGGGCAACATAGGATTTCTTTTCACCTATTCTTTTGTGTGTTCTCTGTTTCCAACACTTTTATTTTTTTAATTTTTTAAATTTGTTTTTGTTTCCAACACTTTTAAAATATAAAATAACATTCTTGGCTTGGAACCCATACAAAAAGTGACCTGGGCTGAAGTTTGCTGACCCCTGACCAATCTAAGTTCTTTATTCCATGAATTGGGGAATGAGGCCTTTGATAAACAACATGACTTGCCTGGGGTTTTCCAAGGAGCCAATGGAAGAGCCAGAATGAAAACCCAAGTCTCCTATTCCAAGGCTTTGTGCACTGTGATTTCTAAAGACCAACCTCTTCTCCTTAGGTTTGGACTTTGAATCCAGTACAGTATTTTTCTCTCTATTTATAAATGATCAAAACAAGTACACTCTACCAGAAACAAGCTTGAACTGAAATTCTCCACTACTCCCTACCTTATCTGAACTACCTTTGTGCCTCATCTATTATCCTGGTTTCTGTCTACCCTTTGGAATCTAGAAGTATGGAGATTTACTATGAAGGACTTTTTTTGAGTTTTGCATAAAAGGATTATTGGGAAGTAGAGTGATGCATTAAAGCACTCAAGGAAAAATGTGGTTAAAATATTTTAAAAATATTTTTTAGTTGCCAATGGATTTTTTACTTTGTTTATTTTTATATGGTGCTGAGGATCAAACCCAGGGCCTCACACACACCAGGCAAGTGCTCTACCAGTGAGCCATAGCCCCAGTCCATGGTTGATATTTTGAAGACTTTGGAGTGACTAATTTTAGGAGGAATTTTAAAAAATTCTATTTGCTGCCTTATCAATAGGAAAACTTACTTAAATATGAATTTCCCCAAATTAATAAAACAAAAGCACATTCTTACCCTTTGTTTATTATAAGAACAAAAGGCTTAGTAACACTCATTAGGCATAATTCTCAAATCTTACATATGTACAGATAAATATATGTATATTTTATAAAATATAAAAATTTATTTTTACATTTACTTATACAAATATATATGTATACACACACATACACACACAAACATACACACATATGTATACAATGTTATAGCATAGGTTTTTAGCTAAATTATCTCCCAGATGCACCAAAGTTGCAAGAGTTATACCTCATATTGTCAGTAACAGACCTTATGTTGTTACAGAGAAATCTGCTGCAGTGGTATCAAGACTCACTCATAGGTTCTCTTGCACTTGCACTCAGTAACCATAGTACAACTGTATTTGTCTTCCAAAGCAAGTCTAACAACCCCTACACATTTAGCTATCCCAACTATGCATGTAAGGGTTTATACTTGCCAATAGCAATGTTCACATGGTGAACATAAGTCCTAGGAGACCTTGTCCAGTACCAGGGGAGAAGGTAGCTCTGCATATACGAATTTTTGCCCTGCAAGACTCATGGTAGCCCCTGCTCAAGATTTGGAATCTTTTTTTAGAAAATAGAGCAAAACCATACTATTACAGAGCCTTCTCTGTCTTTCTCTTCCTCATTCTCATTTACTTGACTCAAAGACAACAGTGATATGTGTTGTTTCTTTGGAAATGCTTTCTAGAAATTGGCACCTCATTAAATCAATCATATCAACATAAGACCCAGTTTATAAATAGATTGAAGGTCTGACTGGGAGATCTTTACCAGTTGCCCTGATGAGTCAAACTCTGAGGAGGCCAGGTAGAACTTAGCAGTTAGTGTATGCTCCTATTTCTGTTACAGATTTGGTGATCTACTGCCTGTGAGTCATTTGCCTTTTCCACTTCAATTTTCTTGTTGGCAAGAAAGTGTCTTTAATTGCATCTGAATCAGATGGCAAAAAGAAGTTGCTTGAATCAGTTGTGCTTTGGCACATGAAAAGTACTTGTTTAAATCCCTGAGAGAACAGAATAAATATTTAAGTTAGAGATAGTTATCATTGACCCATGGCTATTAGGAAGAAAGTTCCTCACAGGTCCTTGAGCCCAGAGTTTGCAAGTCTCCATTGCTGTACCTTTTAGCATATCTCATCCCATTGAAATGATTTTTCCCTTCAGATGATTATTGCTTTGTGTCATGAACTGACAATAACATCCCAGTGTATTGGGGACGTGATTTAAATTGGTTGTTGGATTTTATTCAGTTACATGCTGTTAAAAATGAAAGTAAAGGCTGGGATATGGCTCAGTTGTAGACCACTTGCCTTGCATGTGCAAGGCCGTAGGTTCCATCCCAAGAATGATAGAAAGGAGGAAAAAAAAGCACAGAATCCTGGATCTGGTAAGGCCCAGTAGATGTTATTGTATAGAGAGTGATGGATCTCAGGGTATTCATTAGAGATCTGAGAGTCTCATTCATACTTCCTTTACCCTTTGGGATATCTTCTAGATGATGAAGCCTTTTCTGGTCCTTCAGACTGACGACTTATGAATCTTTAAGAGTACCTGGGGATAACTAACAAAAAATCACTCTGAACAGTATAAAGTTTGTGATGCCCAATAGGGCAGGGATTGGGGCTGACTCACTCCTGAGGTAGCTGCAGGGCGTAGCACAGTGCTTATTTTTCTGAAATGACAGTTCAGAGTTTATTGCACAGTATAATGTTTTCAGTGCTTAGCTACCACTCAGTCACAGCACCATGACTGCTTGTTAAGCTTTTTTTTCTTGTTTGTTTTTCTTAGTACTAGGGATTAAACCCAGGGCCTTATGTATCTAGGTAAGTGCTCTACCACTGAGCCTTATCCCCAACACCATGATTGATTGTTTTAAAGAGACAACCTTAAAACAATTCAGCCTTGACAATAAGAGTATTATATTTTTATACATAATACAAATTGAAATTTAAAGTAGCTCATTTCATTTGGATTCAAAAAAGGTTTTCCTGCCTGTTAAAAAGATGTGTATTAGAAGATATTTTAATTATTTTCATTGGTGCATTATAATTATACATGATAGTGGGAAGCTACCTTTAAAATCTGGTTATCATCATTAATTTCTGAAAGTAAAGTTATTACTAATATGAGATACTTTAGTGTGGTTATATAGAAACTGTATGAAAGCAGTATTGGATAGTAAAATTATATTACTCCATTACTTGTATGAGAGCTTAAAATGCCAATCATTTAGGGAGAGAGCTTCTGTATTTTAATGACATGTTTAACAATGTTGAGATTATCTTTGATAGCAGGTACTCTTTTGAAAATTTGTATGAATAGAATGTCGTTTGATAATTTAAAAATCTCTTAGAAACCAGTAAATGTAGACATGGCAGAAGATGTGTAGGGGTTGTTTTCCTTCTTTTAATCAAATGATGCTTAGCTCTGTCTTCTTGTTACTGCTTGTTCCTTTTCTTGTCTTTACTTTCATGTCTATAATAGAATATTTTCAGGTGTTCTTAAATGAGTTATTTCAAAATACCACATAAAGTAAAGTAATTTTTTACTAGTGTAGATTCATTGTCATTTTAGGTAAGTGACTCTTCTAATCCCTTAATTGAATGAAAGATTTTTTGCTAATTCATGTGACTTTATTGGTAGACTGAAATGTCAAATTTCTCCTTTGCCCCCCTAGGATATGAGAAACCTGAGGTTTGCTTTGAAACAGGAAGGCCACAGCAGAAGAGATATGTTTGAGATCCTCACAAGATTCGCCTTTCCTCTGGCCCACAGTCTGGTAAATTCTAGGGCTCTCCTAAGCATCAGAAGGTTCTCAGGCTTTCTCTGTGTAAACTGCCTGCGGGCTGGGATTCTCTTTTACTCACTCACTGCCTTGTGTTTCCTGGTGTGATTTGTATGTGGGGGTGTTTTATTAAATATGATTTAATCACTCCCAGGAGGACTAAGTCTCTCTCCTGCTAGTCTGCAAGATGGATTGACCCAGGTGACTGAACCTCAGTGCCAGGAGGCCAATGAGAGCCCTTCCTGAGCACAGGAGCTTTACCCAGGATGCCTTGTGCTCTCCAGCCCTGACTATGCCCTTTTAAATGTAGGGAATAGAGGATGGGGTGGCTCTGTGTATCACTATGAGGTCTGCTCTTAGAGTTCATTGTTCCTCACTTTGGTGCTAATGGAGAATGCTTGTCGGGCTTTTGTGGCTCCTCTTATAAATGGGAACATATCCTCTGATCCCAAATGCCATTTAGGCAAATGTACTTTTAAAATACAAATGTGTTATATAGGTACTACATCCAGCACCTGAATAAGCAGGCAGGTTTATTTTGTAAAATAATGACATTTCAAATGTCATTTCATAACATTTAATATATATTTGCAGGATGGATTTATTACACATTTAATTAGTTATAATCTATGACTTAGTCCAAAAGGAAATGCAGTGTGTTAGTCAGCTTTTCATCACTGTGACCAAAATGCCTGACATGAACAACTTAAAGAAAGATTTATTTTAGTTCATGTTTTAGTGGTTCTAGTCCATGGTTGGCTAGCTCCTGTGCTGTGAACCTTGATTAAAACTGAACATTGTGGTGGAAGAGTGTGGTAAAGGAAAGCTTCTCAGCTAATGACAGCCAGGAAGCAGAGAGGAAGGGACCAGGGACAAGATATAGTTCCCTAGAACATTCCCCCAAGGCCCCACTTTTTCAGCTAGGTCCCACCTCCTACAGCTTCTACCACTTTCGATCAAATTATCCTTCCACTGATGAAGTCAGAGGCCTCATGATCCAGTCACTTTCTAAAAGTCCCACCTCTGAACATGGTTGTGCTGGGGACCAGGCCTTCAATACCTGAGCCTTTGGAGGTCATTCTAGATTCAATTTATAACAGAAATCCAGTGTTATGTCTACCTAAAACATTTCCTACTTCTTTACCAAACAATCCAGGAACACTTGCGTTGACCATGTGACTGGGCTAAACCTTTCCATGAGTCTTGTCCTCAGTTCTTCATTATATTGTGTCTCAGTCTTGGCTTCCTTTTTTCTGTCATGCCTTGCTTGCATCTTCTTATCCCCCTCCTCCTCTGGTTGATGCTAAGCACACTTGGAGGTGAATACCTGCTAAGTAGAGGGCAAGGACATAATTCTTCAAAAAATATTTTAAGTAGAGGATATATTACACCTATATTTTAAGTAGAGGATAATTACACTGCAGACTAAACTGAAGGTGATGAGAGAGATCATGTAGAAGAGCTGTTTTGTGTTCTAGCTTTGCTTCCTATAACTCTTTAGCTGTCTTTTAATATGTTTGGGGATTTTTTTTTCTTTCTTCCAGAAATATTTTAATAAAAATTGGCCATTTCCAAGAAACACCCACTGCATGCCCATCAATAAAAGAGAACCATAACAAAATAGAAAATTTACCATATGGCTATGATTTAAAGAAAAAAAAATTGCAGGCACTAAACACATCAGTAAAGTCCAATATTAAAGTTGCATTCCTTCTTATGGGCTATGATTAAGAATCTGATTAGATATCAAAATAAAACTTAATACAAATGCTTAACTATTTAGGTCAAACGACCTCTACAAAAGTATCTGTCCTCCAAGGTATTCCAGTTTGAGACTTAGTTTTAGAATAAGGCATAACAAATATTTTTGTTTTAAGTTTTTATTATTGTATTTCTTGCAATAAATGTCAGAGGTTTATCAAATCTAATGAGATAAGGTTTCTTTTTCCCTGACTTTCACCTGCAGTTGTTCCAATCACAGGAAGTTCATGTGTGGTGGAGAGGAGGAACCATTCACGAAGGCTGTAGAGTTTAGAAGGATATGAAGTACTCACCATGAGTCTCATGTTGATTGTAGATGAAAATGTAATGCTTGAAAACAAATTCACTGATAGCATTATCGCTGAATCCATTTTAAGCCTTCTCTAAGTTTCTGATTTAACATGATTTAAAATATTTCTATATGAAACATTTCTAACTTTATTAGGATATAATGGTTTATGTGAACACATCTTCTAAATTATTTTGAAAGTGAGAATGAGATTTATGAAAGTTCAGTTAGGAAATAGGTTCTGTATTGGTTTATGTATACCTGGCTCTACATTATCAGAAATTTCAGGACTGGCTTACATAGCAGGTTTGGCACTGAGACCTTATTCCACCTTCCATGAAATCATGCATCATCAGCAGTTCCCTTTATCTGGCATGTTCTCTATCTTTTCCCCTTAAAAAAAGTCAACTATTAGGCTAGCTTTTTCTTTAAACTACTATCTCATCTCTCACTTTAGTGACAAAATTCTGAGAAGAATATTCTAGCCTGTCCTCATCACCAGTATCCATCTGTATTGCTGATACCTTCTTAAAGCTCAAAACCTCTTACTGGCTATATCTAGTGGCTCATTTCCATCCTAATTGTCTGCCATCTCTCCTTAGCATTCAACAAATTTGAATACTCTCCTGAACATCTTGGCTTCTGTGTTCCCACACCATCTTAAATATTTTTCATAGAGTCTACTGCCTGTGCCTTCTCCTTAAATGTAAACATCTTGTCAGTGTTCCACTCTCAGCCCTCTTCTTGAGTTACCCACTTGCACCTCAAAGACTTCATTTACTCCTATGATTTAAGCTGTCACTGCTGTGTAGATGACTTCTAAATCTTGCCCTGTTAGAGTCCTTGAGTGAGTGTAACTAGTGTAACCTTCAAACATCTTCCTTAGAGCCAGGTGCAGTGGTGCAAGCCTGTAATCCCAGCTGCTCTGGAGGCTGAGGCAGGAGGATCATGAGTTCAAAGCTAGCCTTAGCAATGGCTAAGCAAGTCAGTGAGACCCTGTCTCTAAATAAAATACAAAATTGCGCTGGGGATGTGGCTCAGTGGTTGAGTGGCCTCCGTAGCCCCCGCCCCCAAATAAAAAGGGCTGGGGTTGTGGCTCAGTGATGGAGCACTTGCCTAGCACATGTGAGACACAGGGTTCGATCCTAAGTACCACATAAAAAATAAAGTTAAAAAATTTTAAAAATATTCCTTAGGAAGTCCATATGAATTGTAAGCTCCTTGGTGCCCTAACCTCTTTGCAGTTCAGGAAGCCTGCTCTTTGTCCTCTTAAGTCCTGCAAGTTCAAGAATCCTTAATTGCTCAAGTTCCATAATCTGAAGTCACTTATTTTCATTCTTGCTCTGCATCATGTCCCATAGGCACATCAATTCCAACTCCTATAGATTCTGCTCATTAATAATTCAACTGTTTCTTCCCATTTCTCCTTGGGCTTCCTAATCTAGCAATGCTCTCCACCTGGTTTCCCTTTTTTCTGTTTGTTTTGTTTTGAATTTAAACAATCATGTCTCTGTGTCCCTACCTCCCCAGCCCACTACCTCCAAAAACTCAGTGATCTCTTCATACCTTGTATCCTACACTACAGCCATGCAGGACTGCCCTATGGTCCTTGGGCACACACAGTGCTTTCCAAGTTTGGATTTTGCTATTACCTTTACCTGTATCCCCCTTGTCTCTTAAATGCCCATTCTCCACACACTAGTTTTTCAATATGTTGCTCAGTCCAGGGTCCTTTCCCTTGCCATGTGTGTACCCTCTTGGTGGGTTCATCTTAACCTCTCACATTTTAGAGTTTGCAGGTCCTTCTGTTGGAACACTTACCTCAGTTTGCTTTATGTAATAATTATGTTGTAATTGCTGTCACTAACAGCCACTATACTGTGAGCTTATCAAGTCAGGGATCACCTTTTATCTGTCTTTCCACCCGTAGCATAATGACTTCTGTATGGGAAGAATGTTTGCTATTGTTTTTGGTGTTTTTGTTTGCAGTGCTGAGGATAGAATCCCAGAGCTTCAGACCCACTAAGCAGGTGATATATCACTGAGCCACACGTAGCCACTGCATGGGAATTTTATAATGATGGCTTTTTAATTACTCATATTGAGTAGAATATGATGGAAAATCTTCATATGGAAACCAATAGGATGATGACAGTTTCTGAGTATTGTGGATCTAGTACCAGAGCTTGGGATTCTGTGTTGCTGTTACTGCAGTCCTCCACAGAGGGCTTGCTTTCTCCAGGCTGTGGCACTTGGCTATATTTTTCATATCTATGCTGAGAATCCCTGTCTCTTCCTTTAGGATGTCAATAAAGTAATGAACTAAAGAAAAGGAGTGACCCAATTTGCTCATACAGAGTTTTGGAAATTGCATTCTCTTAAGTTTTAACCACTAAAATTCATGCTTAAAAAATGTTTAAGTCAGTCACCAAAACAATACAAGATGCAGATCTAAACAGATTGGTATTGACACTGTTTTGGGAATGCCAGTCCCTGCTAAGTGAGTCAACAGGTGCAACTGTTTCAGAAATGGATTTCCATTTTGGAATTCTGTGTTGAGCTGTGTCAGGAAGCGGTGAGGGCATTTGAGAAAGTAGTACAGGACAAATGATACCTAGTTCCATTTGGGGATGTGAGGTATAGGGAAAGTGATATGACAAATACACATGGCCTAATGTAGGATACTCTGCATGCAGTTGTGTGGGAGAAATGCAGAGGAAGTTCATTGGGGGCTCACAGGAAGGAGACTGGAAAAACCTGCATGGGATTGATAGTTGTTAATGTGGGGCCTTGAAGGATGGATATAATTTCCAGTGGGCAGGGGAGGTGGAGGAAGTGGAATTTCCAATAGAGACAAGAGCTGATTCTCCACACAGTGGAGGGAAAGCTCACAGCATTGCAAGGGGTTTAAGAAGGTAAACTCATGGCTTTTGGCTGCAGTGGG